GCCACCATGAATGGCCGTCCAATGGCTGGCGAGTGACCGCCTCACCTGGGAAGAGCGCAATGATAACACCACCATGGGCCAGTGAAGCGATGTCTTCCACAACTAGGCTGAAGAATAAAAGGACAGCAACTTGTCTGTTCCCCTTCCCCGATTCCGCAACACTGTTTCCCTCTCCCAATTCCCCAATAAAAATCATTAAAAAAAATACTAATTTTAAGTTTATTTGAAAAAATATGATTTAAAATTATAAAAAAAATTGGGGAATTGGGGGAGGGAAACAGTGTTGGGGAATTTGGGGGGAGGACCTGCCAAGTTGTTGTTCTTCAATCTTAGTTGTGGAGGGCGCCAGTCGCCATCTGGCTGCTCATCCACCGCTTGTGGCCTCTAAGCTAAAGGTGCTGTGTTACAATCTTAGTTGCAGGTGGATATAGCCACCATTCCATGTGGGAGTCAAACCGGCAGCCTACTTGTTAAGAGCATGTGCTCTATCCCCTGAGTCACCCTGATGGCAGCTCAGCTCAAGGTGCTGAGTTCAGTCTTAGTTGCGGGCGGGCGTAGCCCACTCACTATCAAACAGGCAGTCTTGTTGTTAGGAGCATTTGCTCTCACCAGCTGAGCCATCCTGCCACCTGTTGGCAGCTCAGCAGCAGCTCAGCTCGGGCGCAGTGTCACTAGCCCATGTGGGAATCGAACTGGCGGCCATGTTGCTCAGAGCTTGCACTCTTAAGCTAACTCTTACTCAACTGAGCTACTCGGCCAGCTCCCTTAAAAATTCTTTATTGCATAAACCATACCCATTATGTGTTGTCTATGATTTTCAGTTTGGTTTTTTAAAATTGCAGCAAGAATTTGAAGACTTCTGTAATGCAATGTAAAGGCAGAATACTTGTAAAATTTTATGAAATTTCCCCCAATCTTTTACACTTGTTTCATTCATGCCTGTTTCTATAGCAATGTTAGTTAGCAAATTGCCTTAAGTCTGTATAAAGCTTTCAATTTAGTTTTTATTTAAAAAAAAATTTCTTTTATTGCTTACATTTTATTGGTTTTCATAGTATTTAAATGAATTATAGTAACATGTACAAATGGCATATATAGATTTGGAAGCAAAAACAACTTTGACTCTTTGTAATGGTGGTTCTCAAATTTTAGCATATGTCAGAATCACTTGGAGGGCTTGTGAAAACACATATTTCTGGGCTCCATACCCAGAATTTCTGATTTATTAGGTCTGGAGTGGGGCCTGAGATTTGTATTACTAACGAGTTCCCAAGCGTTGGTTGATGCAGCTGGTTTATAGACCTAATGCTTAAGCATACAGTCAATCAACGGGAGAAGTATACAGATGTTCCAGAGCACAGGTGTTCCGAGGCTGCTTCATAAACATACAACCCAGCCATTAGACAAGCGCACATGTTTTCCGACAGCCTTGGGCATTTACAATGCTCTGGGCATCAGTTCCCATGTTTTCAGAGGGAATGAAAAGCATTGATTGATCAGAAGTTGATTAAGTGGAGGTCAATTAAAAGAGCTTCTTCTGTACAACTTTATTGTAACTGATCTGCCATTGGATACTCTAGAGCATTCTGGGAAAAGGTAAGCTTGGAGTATGTAGCTTAGACTTTAGGCCTAACCAAAGCCTCCGACCTCTCTCTCCATTCTGAGGGACAGAGATGGCTGGGCTCAGAGATTATCCCCCAAGGTGTAAGAGGAAGTTTAAGAGAGGTGGAATCTGAATATCTGCCTTATAGGTACAATGACCTGCCCACTCATCACTGTGGTACCGTGTCCTGGAGCTTGGAAGTCAGATTAACAGCTCTTCTCTTTGGAGGGGATACTAAAAAGTGTGTGGCCAGAGTTAGGGCTGGCTGACTGACAGCAGACACCCACATCAGGGGATGGGAGATTTTCAAGATGGCAGATTAGGCCCAGCATGAGGAGGTTGGAGGTGGGAGTGCCTACTGCTAACACAGGCAAATGTGGGCCACAGCATGGCCCGTTTCTATGACATGCCAACTGAGGCACTTGCCAGGGCTTGGTATCCTTGATTTCAATGTCCCCAATTATTTGTTTAACGACCCATTGGTTCTTGAAAGATGAGACATTAACTTTTAGAAGGAGTTGGTACTAGCTCAATATTCATGTTACAACTCAACTTCAGCCACTGGCTAATGTCCCATGACATTCAGATCCTGAAACCATGTGAATGTTCTGTTCCCACCATAATGACTTGTACACTAAACACACAAATATTAGGT